TTCCCAAATTATAAACCCCCAGCCACATGAGGAGCTCGGTATGGCTCTGCCTGGAATAAAGACAATAAGATAGGCACTATAATGAGGACTGAATCCCCTCAAAGCGAGAGGGGATCTTTTCCGAACAGATCACAGCAAGCCAGGGCAGGGTAGACTTTGTAGGCTTCATGCTTTACTACTCCTGTGGATGCAGGAGTAAAAGATAAAGATAAAAACAAGGCGACTTGTTTTATCCAGGGCTGTCAAACCAACACCTTTTCCTACCATTTCAGGATTTATCAATTTTACTCTTCTCTTTTTTTTAATATATTTAGTTTTTTGGTGAAAGGGGATTGAACTTTCAACGACAATGATAACCAAGTCTGAATTGACTTCAGAGTGTTTTGTGCGTCTCCGAAGACAGCATTTTCTCATGCAGTGTGTGCTGCTGGAGCAAGATGCGGCGGGACTCGGAGAAGGCAGGATTTCATCTGTGCTCACCGTGCCGCGCTGCATTTAAATTAGACCCGTAGTGAACGCTAAATGAATATCACACACGTAGCCGTGCACTTTGGCTTTTTCGTTCAGGTAGTTTACCTAGACTCAAGTGATCTTAATGAGAATCGGTGTCAGAAAAAACAGCCCCCTTTTGCTTGTTTTTCAAGTGAGGTGCAACTTTAGCAGGAGTAGCCTTAAGGCTAATGAAACCAGCTGTCATTCATCTCCAACCAGCGGAGGCTCACGGGCCCAACTGGAATGTAACTTGAGTTGTGTTTTTTCTCTGTAGGTGGGAACAAGGAGGTATATGGCTCCCGAAGTGTTAGAGGGAGCAATCAACTTCCAACGAGACGCCTTCCTGAGAATAGACATGTATGCAATGGGACTGGTGTTGTGGGAGCTAGTCTCCAGATGTAGAGCAGTTGATGGTAAGAATAAAGATCGTGTCTTCCCTGGGGAGGGCTCTGTTTCAGCGTGGTTTAATGGTTCAGAGAATGGGCCTGGCTTTGTTTAAAAAAAAATAATAATCAATGGCGTATTTTTATTAAGCAGCTAACCTGTTTTTCACTTGCTTGTTTTTTAACATAAGCTGTCATTCTCTGTAGATAATAACCTTTGTAGTGTTCAAGTCTCAACTTTTAACTACTTTTAACTGCGCTGGTTACATTGCAAATTGGCTGAGAAGTCAGAGGGAGAAGGGGTAGGTGATTCCTCCGTCAGTGGTGGGTGTTCTTTAGTCCTGAGCCTGCTCTGTGCTGCCCTCCGTGGCACTCTGCATTCCTGCCTGTGACCAAGGCAGGCTTTGAGCTCCGGAGAAGAGCCGCGCTCAGCTCCGGCTTGGCTGTCACACCTCACTTCTGCAGAGCAGTGTGGTAGCCCGAATGGAAAGCTCAGAAGTGAAGCACCTCGGTGAAATAGCAGGAACACGGGGCTGGAAGGATCTTCTTGGGTCAGCAAGCCCATTTCCCTGCTGTCATAAGTCGTTAGGTATTAATCTTTGACTTTTGCTGATCAAGCCCTCTCTCAGCAGTGGGCTGAGTTTGTTGTTCCATCTACAGCTTTGGAGGACCTCACTTTCTCCTGAATGATCCAAAAGAATGAACTTTCATGGTGTCTCCTTTCTCAGGTTTTTTATCCTGAAATGATGCTGCAAAATGGGGCATCTTTTCTGTCCAAATAGCACATCTGCCCTTTGGTGACACCCTCGCCATTTGCAGGACCTTGCCCCTGGTCGGGGAAGCAATCATTTCATTGTAGTAGCTCCAAGGCTGGTTGCTCCAACTTCTTTCTTCTTGTATAGATGTGGGTGCTCTGGACTGAATATCAACTTCATCAATTAACAGTACCTCACCTGGACTTCAAGTGTTTTTGTTAGTATTACAGTAGGACCGAGGAGCTTGATTATAATTAGGATGTCTGCATAGGGGTGTGGTAAGAGAAGCTCTTTTCTTCAAAAATTTACTGTCTAACCAGATAAAATGCCGGAGGATTTTTTTTCACCCCATCGCAGTGGGGTGAAACAGTGGTACCCAGATCACTCATGTAGGAATAACCCTTCTCTGCTGAGGCCCCCCAGATATCTACTTGGATTTTTGCCTGTCATGTTTGTGATCTCTTTCCAACTCTTCTCAGGCAGCAGCTGGCCAAGATACTCCAGGTGCCATACACAGCACTTAAATCAGAGGGAAGGCTTCCTTTGGGGTGGTGGGGAGTTACGCTGAACCTCATCTGCACGTCTAGCTCAGAAGTGATGTCGTGTAAACAGCAGATTGGGCTTGGAGATCACCAGTGCAGCTCTTCATAGCCTTGATTCCTCTTGGAGGAAGAGCAAGGGAAGGTCGCGACCGTTATTGTGCCATCCGTTGGAACGAGTGTTTCAGTTTTGGTTTAGTGACTGGCATTGTGTCAACAAGAATAATGATAAGCTGTTTTAGTGATTTCATTGTTTTTAGAGTACCTCAACATCATGTTGGTGGTGCCACAGTTCATGCCCAGCTAAAGTGGTCAGCTCTTTTATTTTAGTCTGGAAAAGCCCCCTTGAAATACCTCCACTCTTGAAAGAGGTCACTCTTTGCTACCGAGAAACTGTAAGTGATGCCGCGGAGCACCTTAAGAAAGCCCATCAGTTAAGCTGGGCTGCCGTTTGTGAGAGAGCATCTACGCATTGCCAAAAGCCAAATGACGTTTCAATAAGCAGAAGTTATTGCTGCTGTCCGGCGTCTGCACTGATACTCATAACAATTGTCTCATTCCCGTGGCCCAGGGCAGTTCACAGCCATAACTGGTATAACTAAAGCGTTCAGAAATCATTTTGCACTTAGGAGCCGGTACTTGGGACAAGTGCATCTGGCTCCAGCGTGTCAGGGCTGACTGAAACCTATGAACAAGCCAGATCACAAAGCAAGAAATTATAAATGTTGTCTCTGCTTCACCTTGCTAGTCGGTGCCTAAAATGAAATTATGCTCATGCTGAAACCTTTCTCTAGGTTACTGTGTGTTGAATTGCTATGCTAACATGTGAGGAGGACGGGCCGATTTGCTCTTGCTATTGAAATAAATCACGGACGACCCGGCAAGCCTCCTCAAGGAAAGCGGTGGGATCGGGAGGCCCGGCTGAGGGTTCGGATTCGTAACTCGACGGTGGAAAATGCGTGGCCAGACAAGCAGCGGGGACAGCAAAGTCCGTTGTGCAGGAGGAATGTAAATCACATTTGTCTGCAATGACATGTGAACTTCAGGCTTTGCTGCAGTGGGTTGAGGTTGCTCTGGAGCCGCAGCTCACTCATGCATGGGGAAGACGTGGCTCTGCGGAGGACATTTCTGTACTAACCCAGTTCTCCGTGTGCACCTTAGGTCCAGTGGATGAATACATGCTGCCTTTCGAAGAAGAAATAGGTCAGCACCCATCCCTTGAGGACCTGCAAGAAGTGGTGGTTCACAAGAAGATGCGTCCTGTGTTCAAGGATCACTGGCTGAAACACCCCGTACGTCCCTCCTGGTTAATGGTGGAAAATGTTTTCCTGTGTGATGGGAACGAGGGATGCGGTTGTGCATCGCTCGTTAGCTTCAGAGGGAAGCTAACCAGTCCACCCCGGTGCACGGACCTGCTCCCTGGTGCTAGAGAGAGTCAGCGCCAGGGAATGAGGGGCTGCTCAACACCTTCATGCTCCCCTTTCCATTTGTCCCTTGTTTTTAGAGAGCAAACCAGCTGATCAAAGTCAGCCAGTGCTGAATGTGGAGCGTGTGGTGGTTTAGTAGGAATCCTTTAATATTGTGAAAGAATGGAAAATAAAGTCCCTTTCATTAAGAAAACGATCCATACCATCGGAGACACGTTCCTCACAAGCTAGATAGCATGCAAGACTTGAACAATTTTTTGAGGAAAAATTAATTAGACGTGAAGGCAAGGAGACAATGAAGCAAAATGCAGCGTGGGTTTCCCGGAGGTAGATCATTTCAGGCTCGTGTTTTTAATAAAAGAGGTGATTTTTTTCAGGCTGGGAAACTGAGCAGATGATGAAATCTCACAGGGCTTCAGTAAGAAGCTAAATGCCTCTGTTCTGGCCAAACTGCCACGGTTTTGGCTAGACTCAGGTGTACTAACTCATTGCCTAGAAGTCAAGGAGAGCTGCGGGTTGTAGGTGAAGATAAGTGTTCCAGTTCAAATGAGGGTTCAAATCAGAGCTGCGCTCTTCCAGCAGTGTTGAATTCAGTTATTTTGGGAATATCTACAGAAGTGATTGCAAACAAAGCAACGGTTTCATAGTAACTGGTACAGTGCTGCCAGCTCTCATGGCTTTATCACGGGAATTGTAATAGTTGATGTCTTGTCTTTTAAAGCTTTAACTGCTGAATCTCGGGATGTATTTTGATGTTAAAAAAAGTACTTTGGGGGCTATGAAAAAAAGCTGGATGTGACCAAGCCCTACAGCCTTAGAAAGCAGAAGCTTAAAAAAACCCGAAAACAGACATTTAAAGTAATTTTTAAAGCTAATCTCATAATAATTTGCATGCTGGGGAGAAAATAATCTTAATTTTTCTTTACAGCATTAAGCTGTGTTAAGTGGACCTCCCCGTCCGCTGCAAAGACGGTCCCCAGAGCAGACTTTGTTGCTGAAGGTGCTTTCTCCCCCTTGTTGTCCGCAGGGCTTGGCGCAGCTCTGCGTGACCATCGAAGAGTGCTGGGACCACGATGCGGAGGCTCGGCTCTCGGCGGGCTGTGTCGAGGAGCGCATTGCGCAGATCCGCAAATCCGTAAACGGCACTACCTCGGACTGCCTCATCTCCATCGTGACGTCCGTCACCAACGTGGACTTGCCGCCCAAAGAGTCTAGTATCTAAGTCCTGGTTCACTTTTGTCTTTCCAGACTCAGTGGATTTAAAAAAAAAAAAAGAAAAAAGTTTAAAAAAAAAAACACACACACAAAAAAAAAAACAAAAACAAAAAAATCCAATTTTATCTTGACTTTTTATTATTATTGTTATTATTATTATTATTATTATTTTTTTGGATTGGATCAATTTTACCAGCACATTGCTCTACTGTATTAAAAAAAATGGACATTTCAGCAAGCATTCAGGTGCCGACTAATGAATGCAGAAAAGGTGCAGGTACCTCAGAACCTCAACAAACTCACTTCAGTTGTTTTTATTTTATTCAGTTTTCTCGGTTTCTCTTTATCGGTCTGTCTTCTGAGCGGAGCATCTGTGACATAAAGGAAAACCACCTACCATCTTAGAAAACGCAATGCTGCAAACTGTGGAGGAAACTTAAGACTGTTATATAAAGAATACACCTTCCTCAAAAGGATTTTTTTTTCCCCATTTTGTTTTGGTTTCGGGTTCAGTTCCTTTTTTTTTTTTTTTTTTTTTTGGAAGTGAGCTTCAAAAAAAACAGCAGATGTGTCTTTTACGGATCTAACGGGTGTCATTGTAACATGGAGAAAAAAGTAACTGGGCGGAGAATGTTAATTCTTGATGGTAGAATTGAAGGGGGGAGCGTAGAATAGGGGTGGGGAGAGTGACGTTGGACTTGGCAGCATTTGGGGAAACATCATTTGCTATGGAGCTACTTCTCAGGTAACCATTAGAGGAGGGGAAGGACATTTCTGGGCAGAGTATTAACGGCTGCAGCGTGTGGAGAAAGCTGAGTTAAAGAGCCAGTGGTTGTAAGCAAGGCGCTAGTTCTTTCTTCCGCCAGTATCTCGGGCTTGCATGGTAAAAGAACAAGGCAGAACTGTAATCACCTTTTATTTTTCGACTTCAGATAGTAATGGGAAGGACGCTTTTAAGCAGTGTAATTGGAAGAGGTGGGAAAGCGTGTTCTCAGAAACACTTCGCTAAAATCCTGGAAGATGGGAAAATCTTTGCATCTTGTTTTAAGGGCGAGTCAGTTCAGGAAATTTGGCCTTGGGGTTGATTATCTGTCACCCAAGCTACCGGTGCAGATGGTGAAAAGAGGAAAAGTGTGGAAACTGGCTCTATTTTTTTTTTTTTTCCCCCTCCTTATTAATTTGGGGTTGGGGGGAGGTGGAAATACCTGAGCTGATGGCAGATGGCTCCTGTAGCATCCGAGAAGCCTATGAACTGCCCAGTTGCAGGATGGAGATGCAGCTGAGCAGCAGCAGTGATTATCGCAGCATCTCTCCGACTGGTTTCTTTGACACTGCTTTCTCCTTACTCTGTGACGAAACTCTTTTGTCTTAAAGTGGTGCATATTCTAAAATACCATTACTCTTATTATGCCATAAACTCGCTCTAGTCAGTGAATGTTCCTAATGCTGCTGATTCAACATTGAAAT